AAATGCTTTAGACAACTATCTGTTCCACATGATCCTTTTAACACATCTGTCATGGCCACCATTAATGTCACCACTTATCAAGTGATGCACTTGGCCTATTCGTGAGTCACTTTTTTTCCACACTTTCATTTATTTTTTATTTTACTTTGAATGTTTTATAGCTCTGTGTTTTCGTAATGCACCAGTACATAACATCATCAATCCTTAATACGAGTAATTCCATTAAAATTGATGGAATTGCATCGTTATTTAGAGAGAGAGAGAACAACTACACGATTTTTTTTTTCATTGCAACCTTGGGAATATTTCTATTGCAAATAATAAATTGACTTAGAGCATTAATTTACAAATGAGATAAGCGTTCATTTCTGCAGCCAAAAAGTTGGAAATTTTGATATATCATTATTTTCTGTCATCTGATTAATTTTCGCTGAAAATGTGATTAAGAAAATAATGCAAAAGTATCAATCTGCATAGCTTCTGATTAAAGTTACAGGAGCGGATTTTGAAGGTTGGGTGTCGACCCTGCATCATTTGCAGGATCCGACAGAAGGAAAGCAACGATGGCGCATTGTGGTGATGTCAATGGCATTGGTCGCGATGACCCATTGACCTTGACTGATGAAACAAAAGAAAAGTGGATTTTTGTGCACGAACGTTATCTCGCACGCGTTTTAATTTTCACGTGATGATTGAAATGGACAATCTGCCCTGCGCTAAATCTGCTACCGCTTCCTAAGCTGATTAACCGTAATGTCACTGCACCCACGTGGGAGGAAAATCTGCACTGCGTAATTGATTCGAACACACAACACTCCGCGCGGCCAAACACGCATTTTTATCCAATTACATTCACTGAAACCTCGAGTAATTGCAAATGTTTCCCCATCGGCGCAGTTATTTCATATGTGCAATTGAGCTTGGGAATGATTGTCTTTCACGGCAAAATTGGATCGCCGTGCCATGCCACACCATTCAGCGCGCGAGCCCATGACCATTAAGATCATTTACAGTGATAGGATTTCTCAGCCTCGCCGTGCACACACACAGAATGCGATGCGATCGCACGAAGCGACGTACCATTTTCAAACATCGTTTGACGGCCGCGTTCGCTCGCACGCACCCCTTGCATTGCGATCACGAAGGGAACGGAGAGATTCCTCCCGATCGCCATCGAACTGATTACCAACTCCCTCTCGAGTGCGCGATGCAGAGAGGCTGCATGTGTCATGCGTGTCCACGCAGCTAATGTCATGAATGCGTGCCACACTCGGTGATGAGAGAGACTGAATTTTCTCTGTTGTCGTATTGCGCTCAGCCACTGCCGTCGCGTTTTTCTGCACCTCTGAGATTCGGAGCCGATTCCATATCTTGAACTATGCATGACGAGCAAACTAATCATTAATTGGCGCTCGCTCAAAAGCGCTTGCACCATCAGTCTGTTGAGGCTATACGGAGGGGTTCTTGTTTCATTGTTGCATCCAGAATTCTTATTTTATACATTGGCATGGACGTAAAAAAATGACATCATGAATTCCAAATGTTGAATTGCTTTTATATTTTTTAAAAATATTTTCTGTAAATAATAATTGAAGTGTTGAGAAGGGGGGGAGGGGAGGGATGTGGGGGAATACATTTGGCCAATGCAGGAGGTCGTTTGGAATTTAAAAAAAGCGATTGTGTAACCACTTTTTTTTTATTTGATGATATGAGCCCGTGTGCCAGCGCGCTTGGTGGATGTTTACATTGCAGGATTAGCAAGAGGTGGTGGGCAACTCGGGGAGGCCTGTGTATCCAGCAGTGGACTGAACATGGCTGGTGATGATTTTCCAAACTGCGTGATGCCACGTACAATGAGCTATTGGTCAGGCGCGTGGAAAGTTTGCCCTGAACCATGGGGACAAGAGAGATCCTCCCTCTGTCAGCTCACACGGCCACACGTATAATTAATCAGACTAATAACCGAATAAACTCCAGCTAATTAATACTAATAAAACATCCCCATCGAGCTACAACGAAAGATTAAAATAATAAAACGTGATATTAAACTGACTGGTAGAAATAGAATAATGTAGGCCTGAGTTAGTTTAGATAATGACGAATCCCGAGTTTATTCATCATTATAAGGTGCTGGCTAAAGCTGTAAAACGTCGGTTTTTAACAACAGGGGATGTATACTGCTAAACCACACACGTGTAAGCGTGCAGAGCAGTGGCAGCCATAAAAATCGGCGACATACTTTAAGTTATGGCTTCATTAAAACATAATAAGAATATCTTCTTGGTTCTTTCGGTAAAATCACGTAGAAGAGAAATAATAAAAAAATAAAACATAATAAAATAATTCTCACGACGTTTCGGCCACAACGCAAGCTTTTTTTTCATTCAGATGCTGTCTCCCCGACAGACCTGGTCTTCACCCGAGGACGGCTGCTTGCGTTGTGGCCGAAACGTCGTGAGAATTATTTTATTATGTTTTATTTTTATTATTTTATTATTTCTCTTCTACGTGACTTTACCAAAAGAACCAAGAAGATGAATCCCTGCAGTCACGAAAGCTTTAAATCGAAGCATAATAAGAATAATAGCTTTCCAGCACCCCGTCAATAAATTCTGGACAAAGCCCTCCCCGTGCAGGTGCTTGGGCGTGAGAGAAGTTTGACCATGCTTCACCCTGCTGGTCAGCGCAGGTTTACTGAAGGGGTTCATATTTTAAAGTTTTTCCGGTAAAGTCACGTAGGTAAAAAATTTAAATTAATAAAAGTAAAATAAAAAATAAAATAAAAATCACGACGTTTCGGAGGCAACACAAGCTTCCGTCTTCAAGTGGAACCGTCACAGCACGATAGCTGTATCAAGCTTCAAATCTAGAATTACTGAAGGGGGGGGGGGGTCGTGGTTTGCACACTGCGCTACGAAGCTGGTGACCGGAGTTGTAATTATTGGCCACGACTAAGATCGGTGGTGAATGATGTGCGGGGCCGATCCTGAAGGGAGCAATAAGTGGCTGAAATGTTCAAATGTATCTTATTTGAAGCCATAATACTGACATCTTTATCCTGGGAGAGGGTGGGGGGTTGCCCAGAACGGGTTCAGAATATCGCTCCTCAATCACTCGAAAGATCTTACCAGGAATCAAACTCAGGTCGCCGCTTTCACAGGGCAGCACGTCAACCACCGCTGCCCCCACTGCTGCCACCCTCGACTAGTATCCCAGAATGCTGCAGTTGCAACGCAGTGTGACATTTTGGAGAGAATTGCGACAATTAGCGTATGCAAAATAAGAGCAAAATCCGCTTAAATTAGGCGCGCAGAAATGTTGTTATCCCCCCTGCTGTGTTTAAAAACGAAGACAATATTCATTTGCGCCTGACAAGATTGTATTCCACACATGTCGACGCATTGCATTAGCGGGCGCTGGAATGAAATTATTTAAATTTGTGGGAGTATGGGGGGAGTGTATGGCCATCCTGACACGTTCGTAAATTTGTTCAAAATCTATTTGTTTATTTGCACGCTTGGTGTTGAGCTGTTGGCATTCGGAGGGCAGGTTTGTCTGATGATTTGACAACAACAACAAGAACAACACGTCGCGTTCGCTCGCCGCTTTCGGAAGGGGTGATTGAAAATCTGAGCGATTATTGAATTCGAGCCCTGGTGGTTCACCAATACGGGAATACTTTTCCCATCCAGATAGACTTTCTTGTACATTTAGTTCAATTATACTATTGGCTGTCCTCTGCTGACTGAGCCAAAGAATAAAGTGTTTCGAAGTAAAAGGATATTTTTTTTTCTTGTTAAATATCAAAACTAAAAAAGAACACGTGGCTTGCGTTGAGCATCTTGAGAGAATGCAACGGCGCTCCACCAGCCGAGCAAACCCAAATTATTATCCGAATCCAGCAGAGGGCACTTGCTTTTTAATTTTGGGAGAAAAGGAAATGCAAAGAGCGAGCTCTCTCGCTCCACTCCGTAACCGATTCCTCAGCCGTGAAGGGGTAGGGGGAAGAGAGCACGACACGTGAAAGGACTTCGCGTACATTTCATTGGTGGAGAGAACATTTCCCGCGGCTCCTCGTAGAGAACATTGTGGTTTGATGATGGCCTCGAATATTGACTTTAAAACAAACAACAAAAAGTCCTTCAGTGTCGTGCGCCTGCACCCTATTCTCGATGACTGCACCCCCTGGAGTTGTGGGTGCCCTCTCTCGTCCACCACCGTCCGTGTGGTTGCAGTTGTAATGTCTGTGTGTGTGTGTCTGTCTGTGTGTGTGTGTCCGTGTATGTGTGTGAGGGGAGCAGTAGTGTAGCAGTTAGCGTGCTGCGCTACGAACCTGGCGACCCGAGTACGATTCCCGCTCACGGCCAACACCCAGTGACGATTATCTAAACCCGTCCTGGGCCTCCCCTAGGTCGACTCAGCCTCAAATGAGTACCTGGTGCGATGTGAAACCATCGCCGCTAGGGAGACAAAGGCGGCCGGGCGTGGTGTTGGCCACCCACCCCCTCGTGTGCCGTGCCGGCCTTCATAGGTGCTCGCTAACAGCACTTGCCCCAACATTCTGTTAAAGGCTATCTGGGAAATCTTTGTTTTGTGTTTGTGTGTGTGTGTATATATGGGGAACGGAAGTGTAGCGGTTAGCATGCTGCTCTGCGAACCCGGCGACCCGAGTTCGATTCCCGCTCACGGCCAACGGCAGTGCGATGGTTACCTGAATCTGTCTTGGGCCTCCCCTTGGTCGACTCACCCACAAATGAGGACTTGGTGTGATGTGCACTCATCAACAATGGGGAGACAAAGGCGGCCGGGCGTGGTGTTGGCCACCCACCCCCTCGCGTGCCATGCCGGCCTTCATAGGTGCTCGCTTAACAGCACTTGCCCCACTAGTCCGTCAAGGCTATACTGGGGGGGGGGGGGGGAGCGAACATGATATTTGTCTTTGTCATATATTGATGAACCATCTCGCTAAAGCACTCGTTGTTCTCCTTGCCGTGCGTCAGGATCTGCAGGCGGAGATTGAGGGGCAGCAAGACGCCTTCGGGGGCTTGACGGAGAGCGGGCAGCGCATCCTGCAGTCGCTGGATGGCTCGGAGGGCAGCACTGCCCTGCAGCGAAGGATCGAGAGCGTGAACCAACGGTGGCGTGACCTGCGTGACAAGTCGAGCAAAGCGGGGTCAGTGGGAGGCAGGGGGGGGTGGGAGGGAGGGGGGGTGAGAGGGGGGGTGGGAGGGAGGGGAGGTGGAAGGGAAGGGGTGAGAGGGGGGTGGAAGGGAGGGGGGGTGGGAGGGAGGGGAGGTGGAAGGGAGGGGGTGAGAGGGGGGTGGAAGGGAGGGGGGGTGGAAGGGAGGGGGGTGAGAGGGGAGTGGGCGGCAGGGGGAGGTGGAAGGGAGGGGGGGTGGAAGGGAGGGGGGTGAGAGGGGAGTGGGCGGCAGGGGGAGGTGGGAGGGAGGGCGGTGGAAGGGAGGGGGGTGAGAGGGGGGTGGAAGGGAGGGGGGGTGGAAGGGAAGGGGTGAGAGGGGGGTGGAAGGGAGGGGGGGTGGGAGGGAGGGGAGGTGAGAGGGGAGTGGGCGGCAGGGGGAGGTGGGAGGGAGGGCGGTGGAAGGGAGGGGGGTGAGAGGGGGGTGGAAGGGAGGGGGGGTAGAAGGGAGGGGGGGTGGAAGGGAGGGGGGTGAGAGGGGAGTGGGCGGCAGGGGGAGGTGGAAGGGAGGGGGGGTGGAAGGGAGGGGGGTGAGAGGGGAGTGGGCGGCAGGGGGAGGTGGGAGGGAGGGCGGTGGAAGGGAGGGGGGTGAGAGGGGGGTGGAAGGGAGGGGGGGTGGAAGGGAGGGGGGGTGGAAGGGAGGGGGGGTGGAAGGGAGGGGGGTTGGAAGGGAGGGGGGTTGGAAGGGAGGGGGGTGGAAGGGAGGGGGGTGGAAGGGAGGGGGGTGGAAGGGAGGTGGAAGGGAGGGGGGGTGGAAGGGAGGGGGGTGAGAGGGGGGTGGAAGTGAGGGGGGTGGAAGGGAGGGGGGTGAGAGGGGGGTGGAAGTGAGGGGGGTGGAAGGGAGGGGGGGTGGAAGGGAGGGGGGTGAGAGGGGGGTGGAAGGGAGGGGGGGTGTACCTACTGCTTGAATACCGAGCCACGTTTGACTGATGGTTTGTAATCTGTCGGAAAGTACCAGTTTTCGTTCACGCAACTCCGTTTTTTGGTATTAACAAGGACAGCGCAGCATTGCTGGTAAATGCCTGACAGCTTTTTATAACCACATTCAAATTATATGGGTAATATATATGCTAATATGTGTTTATCACACCCAATAACACCTCTTGATCCACCGTTTGCTTCACAAAGTCCCCCTACCCCCCCACTCCACTACCTCTCCAGCCATTGGCTCCTTTTGAAAAAGATTGTTTGTCAATTTGTGAGCGAGGAGGGCTCCTCACCCTTGGCTCGCCCATGCATTTCACCCGTTCACGTCACTCTCGTCAAGCTGTGCCACTTGTGATAATGCGACCGGGCCCCCGATTTGAGTCCTCGCTGGAGAAAATTAGTCTTGTAATTGGGCAGCTCAAAGCCAATGGGTCATCTCGTGAACACGCTGCCGTGCATCCCTCATTAAAAGCCCCGTTTTCACCGATGCGCGCCCTGAAAAAATAAGCGCTTAAACGAATTCCGTGTTTAAACAAACGCGCCTCTGGTCTTCACTCCACCATGAACAAAAAACAACTATTCTTTAGCCCACGGAGCCTATGGACCTTCCGGACCAATAGTGTGGCAGCATGGAGGTGCCATCGTCGTTATCGTCCCACTGCAGCATGAAGGCTTCCCCGACGCCGTTCGCCATGGTTCGGTGTTGCTACGATCCATCTCACTCCTGCACGTGATCGCAACTCGTTGGTGGCCGCTCTGTCAGGTTCCATCATCACCCACCATCACCACCCACCATCCTGTCTCACGATGTGTCCTGCCCAAGCCCACGCTACGTGTCTTGACCCTTACCCGTCGGAACGGAATCGGAAGAAAAACTAAAATAGGATTACTTTATTGGCACCGAGGCTCCCGCAAGGCCATGCGGGAGGGCCTGTGGCGCAGTTTGGCGCCAGCTATCGTAGGTCGCGGCGGTCGTGTCGCTACGGTTCTCTGCCGTGAGTAACGATGTCTTTAAAAACATCGGCACTACGGCTCTCTAAATAAAATTAATGCCAACCGCTTGCGCATTGCAGAGGTTCGTCTGTGAACGGCACAGCCACCCTGCAACTTGCAGACGTCTCGGCACGGGGAAGGGTTCGCTGCCAATGTGATGTGCATCATTCGTGCATGCTGCTGCCCCCGATCCACGTGTTCCTCGCTTCTGCGTACCTCCAGGCACGACATGCCACTGCAGCAGACTGGAGGGTCCCCGGAGTGGCTCAAAGAGTTTCTGGCCTGGCTCGATGAGAAGGAAAGAGACCCGAGGGGACAGGCGGACGGAGATGTTGGGGGCGACTGGGAGAGCGTCCACAAGCAGCTGGAGGAAAACAAGGTGCTTGCGAAGGGCTAAATTGTAATACAGGGTGTCCTGAACGATAAATAACCATTACTCAAGAATAATGATAATGAAATAACGAAACTAAACTATTCCTGATCTTGGTTTTATTTTACCGGGTAAGGCTCACTGACCTATGTAGCTCTTTTTCAGGAAGCGACCTGGCGAAAAATATTAGCTCAACGAAGTGGCTTGTCGCGTGGAAATGTATTGCAGCCAAATACTCTAAACGCACGTTGATTCTAAATATAGAGTGAAAATCCAGGGGACCCAGAGAAAAATCCACATGACCACGGGGAGAACATACAAACTCCAAATACACAGGCATCAGTGTCGGGATCGAATCCACTACCTCCTGTATACCAGGCGAGGAAGTTAACATCTCACCACCGTGGCGCCCCATTTGCCGTGATGGCAAGAGCGTTGTCAGCAGATGGCAGTGCGGCAAAATGCATTGTTGTACTGTACTATGCTCAAACGTCTATGCTTCCCAAGGGGTCTATTGACTAATTTCAAACTGCCCTATACTGTAAATATAGTCTTTTACTAATGGACGATACCTTCATGGGCACCCCTGTAAAGGCATGCACATGTCTGATACATTAGAGGGTGATAACACAAAAGGTAATGTAAATTAATTAACTGCCATGGCAGGGGTGTATAATCAAAAAGTTAGTCTGCGCTTCTTCTTGGTTCTTTCGGTAAAGTCACGTAGAAGGGAAGTAATAAAATAATAAAAATAAAACATAATAATATAATTCTCACGACGTTTCGGCCACAACGCAAGCAGCCGTCCTCAGGTGAAAACCAGGTCTGTCGAGGCGACAGCGGCTGCTTGCGTTGTGGCCGAAACGTCGTGAGAATTGATTTATTATGTTGTATTTTTATTATTTTATTACTTCCCTTCTACGTGACTTTACCGAAAGAACCAAGAAGATGAATCCCTGCAGTCACGAAAGCTTTAAATCGAAATTTAGTCCACGCTTGTTCATCACAACCTCAGTGCTGCCTGTAAGTCAGTCAATATTTACTCAAATGCACTTTGACGGTGACCCAAGACGAGAGGAGCGCAATTCACTTCTTCAGGAAATGCTGACGGGGTTTTTGTTGTTGCACAGGCTGCGTGTGCGCTTTAAATAAAAAAAATTGTCACGTGTTTCTCGAAACTCACGGTTTTGTAACCCTGCACTGTTGTTCTCTTTCGGTGGGTTCTTTTTTGTCCTCATCATTGAGAGATTTCACGAGCGATGCGAGGTGCAGGACGTCCGGGCCACCTTGAACCTCGAAGTTGTTGTTTTTTTCAGGCAGTACTGACAGAACACGGACCTTATTCCGTGTAGAGAGAGAGAGAGAGAGCTCTTTAGCCAAGATTAGGACATTTGGGAAATCGGAGACAATGTTAGCAAATAGCCTATGAACTTCTTGTATCAACAATTAGGTTATGTGCCTTAAATAGCCCAGGAGTCGGACACGGAGCCGAGCTCTGGACTGATTCGTACCGAGTAAGTGCGTAAAACCGGACATCTGTCATGGGTCGAAAATGCGTAGAATTCTTAATGTTGAATGGCAAGGCCATTTATCAACCACTGAGCTCAAACACAAATCAAAGTGGACACCACTTAGTGCAATAATCCAAATAGAATTCTTCCTCTGGGCTCGTCATGTCCTAAGAATGCCGGGCAGTGGATTCTAGGCGTCAGATTAGTCTACAAACCAGAAGGGAAACGAAATCTATGGAGAACACAATGCAAAATGGAACACTTTGTCTAATGGGTTTATTAAATTATGACCGCATCTGATCACTTGGTGATACAAGAATATATTTTGCCAAAACGACTTGTCGATTAGGGACCGTTGATAGGGCAATCCATAAAACTAGGTTTCTGTTTCATTGATGTTTTACAAAATCATGTCTTACATTTATAAATGTAACAGCAAAACATAATGTTTGAGGGAGCTGCGTTTGCAGCTCGCTGGCCTGTTTCTCTGATGAGAAAACAATGGTTCTTCTGTGCTAGACATCCCCCCCATCAAATTCTTCAAACACAAAGGGGACATGCCCTGTACCAGCTAAAAATATATATTTACGTGTAAGCCCAGAACATACTGTGCCCAAGAAAATTACCCTTAAGGGCAGGCGCATCGTTGCGTTTCCCTCTTTCCTCCGTTTGTTTACCCAATTATCATAATTTCCTGATTGAGGGACAAGCTCCATTAGCCATGCAGACCAGTCAGCCTGCACAGATAGACCCTTGAATCTGGAGCACGTTATAAACACACGTTTTGTGACACACGTGTTTTAATTACCTTCTTGACCTGTCTTAATTTTCTTCAAATTTTGTGTTTTTTTTTTCTTTCTCCAGGACCCTTCCAGTCCTGTGTAAAGAAATGCATTCAGTCAGGCTTGAATATCTTTCGTGTGATCTGTAACCCCCACTCCTAACTTTTTTCTCGAAGCACCTTCTCTGGAACACGCAGTCCTGAATTCTAGACACACAGACTCCTTTGCAGTGGCATTATCTGGTCCACACATCAATCACGTGTGGGCATTATCCTTTTCTCATTCTTCCTGTGGACCCCATGGTTCAACAGGCAGTTGAGATTTTATAGATAATGGTTGATGGGAGCCTGGAGAGGGAATAGCTTTTACAATGCCTTGATCAGCCCTCAGGCTATTGACTGCAAGTCACAGGGAAGGCCTAAAGATGTGCAGCTGTCAGTCTCATAGTGAGCACAGCATGTACATCTGAGGTACAAAAATCCACGATGTATCATCGGAAGCAGAATATCTCAGAATACTGGAAGAAGGAGGGGGGGGGGAGTTAGATGTAACTCACACAAATTTTTACTTTTAACGTCCCATAAAAACTTGCATATTTGTTCGGACAACTACCTTGCAAAAGTGGACAATTGTGGGACATCCAGGACCTTTGGTAACCCTATGAGCATCATCAACCTGGAATACTGGATAATTCGGATCTGGAGACCTGTACCGAACCCAGCTTCTGTCGCTGTTCGTGAACTCCTCACTCGCTCACTCGGTGTGTGTCGACCTCGCTCTGCCCCATTGCAGAAATTCAGAGAGGAGCTTCAAGTGAAAGAGGTGGAGATCATCTCCGCGATGGACACAGCGGAAATGATCTCGTCGGAGGAACAAGTGAACGATGGTATAAAAAAAAGGAATTGTTGTAACAATAGGAATTTGGCATGATTCTTTTTAGGAGGGCATGCGCAAACTCAGGGAAAAGGGCATGTCACACAGTGAATGTCAAGCGAACATTAAACAAATGTTGAAGGTTAAACAGATTGAGTGATGATATCATCTGCTTTTGTCTATTTTGTGTTGCTGGCTGCCTGACATGTTGGGCCCTTCGGCCTGTGCTCAGCATCTGTGGTTTTTAAAATGAAAGAAAATGCAGTCTACGCTAGCTCCCACGCCGCTGTGTATGATATGTATGAGCCCCCAACGCTTGACAAAAACCCCGCACTGACCAACTTTGTGCAGTGTGATCAAACGAACTGTCATGACTTGGGAGGCCTTAATCCAGCAGTGGATTGACTGTAAATAAAAATTAATTCCGGTAATTTCAATCTGTAATTGAAAATTCAGCTCTAGCTCACACTCCCTATGTTTATGATGAAGGTATGTACCTTCATCATAAACATAGGGGCTGGTGAACTTGAGTCTAAGTAACGCTTCTAAGTCTTGACAAAGCCTTGGGAAATTTCCGTTCCAAATTTATCAAATTGTATTTTCCCTCTGGGCGTCGTACAACTTGGAATGCAATTAACAGATCGTGTTGACTCTGCTGATTTAAAACAAAATGGGAAAAAAATCCATCAGTTCCAAGACAGTCCCGCATCGATTCATATTTGATTTATTTTTATTTCTCTACACTAGTTTGTTGTGTGTGCACGTTTATTTATTTCTCCATTATATCAATGCATCTCTGTACGTTTACATTTGATTGCTTTTTTTCGTATACTCGTAGGTTTTTTTTAAATATTTCGACCTTTTGGATTCATTTCACACGCAGTTGTCAAGCCGTCGGAATAGCGCACAAAGGAATGTGTGTGTGCGTGCGCGTGTGCCCTCGCGCTCCCTGCACAAAGTAAAAAAAAATTTGTTACATTTCGACCCGTTTGGGCCCCATTTCGCATCTGTCATCTCTTCAGTGTCCCTTCTCGGCCCATCAAGCCGTAAAAAAATAAATCAACAAAAAAAACACGGCAACAACCGGCCGCCTCTAGACAGCGCTTTGGGTAATCGTGCAAAATCACCAAGACAAAAAGCCCTGATGTCTGTCATCACACACGCACACTGACTGTGGTAAAACCAAGCCCTGCGTGTACTTCACAGCGGGAATGCTCTTGCTAGGCAGCGGCGGTCGTGTTGTACACTCTGAAATTAAACGGCGGCCTCCTTGAGCTGTGGCGCGTGCGGGGTTAGCCGTTGGATCGGTGGTCCATAGGTGCCGGTGTAACAGGCCGTAGTCTACCCCCAGGCCGTAGTCTACCCCCAGGCCGTAGTCTACCCCCAGGCCGTAGTCTACCCCCAGGCCGTAGTCTACCCCCAGGCCGTAGTCTACCCCCAGGCCGTAGTATACCCGGGGTTAAAACAGCCTAGGCTAGATTATACCCGGGTATATTATGGCCTAGGCCAAATTATACCCCTCTAGGCGAAATCATACCCCCATGATAGTAATAGTGTTGGGCGATATACACATGAATTACAAAAAAATTACAACATTTTATTTAAAACTGTAAACACATAAACTTTGATTGCTTCAACCAGAAAAACTTTAATAATAACCCTAACCCTATCCCTAACCCTATCCTTAACCCTAACCCAAAAAATGTTTCAATTGATCAAATTGAGATTCTTACTTCCATTTATATGCTTTTAGATATCGATTGAAGTTCGTTTGAACTTTCACATGGGGCATCTTCTGGCCTGGAGGGCTATGGTCTGGCCCAGTCTAGTTTAAACCCCCGGGTACAGTTTAGCCTAAGACACTTTATCCCCCCCTGGGTATACTCTGGCCTGGGCCAAACTATACCCGGGTTTAATCGGGGCAGGGGTTATTGTAGCCTGTTACACCGGGTTCGATTTCCACTCGTGTGGGATAAAACCCACCTGGTGGTTGATGTGGGTTAGATTGTGACAGGTCAATTGGCTAGACGCTATCGTCATCATCATCACCAACATCATCCTCAGTGACGCCATCATCCTCAACATCACCGCATTCCTCCAATTGATCGTCGTTACTGCCGTCATCATCATGAACACCGTCGTCATATTCGTCCTTCTCACCATCAATAACCTCGTGTCATAATATCGTTGTCATCGTCATAATTATCTCCATCATCTTCCTCCTCATTGTTACAACCCACAACCATCATCATCATCATCGTAATCACCACCTTCATCATCGCCAGCATCATCATCATGATCACCATCATCACCATCCTGCTCACGCACATTTGACAGTGCGCATAATGCTGAAATACACAATGAAATGTGATGGATGGAAATAAGCGTAACTCCATCAGCCATTGATCTATACATCAAAGCTGAGTGTTTTCCTCCCGCCTGTCACATCGATATAATCGTTGACCGCTTCACTCAGGGCTACGTTACAGGAACTGTAATATACGGCAGATCAGAGCACGTGGATTCGCAATCATAGTTCAAATCCTGGTCGGGCATTAATTCTACACATCATCCTTCCAGGGCCAGTAAAATAGCGTACCATTGCATGAGACATCACCGGTTGCTTTCGTTTGTCAAATCTATGGTCTCGCTCCCCATAATAAGAATGTGGAATTTCTACTCGTGACTCGGAGATATTAACGGTATTCTTAGGTTTTTTCGGTAAAGTCACGTAGGTAAAACATAAAAATTAATAAAAGTAAAATAAAATAAATATCACGACGTTTCGGAGGCAACACAAGTCTCCGTCTTCAGGTGGAACCGAAGCTTGTGTTGCCTCCGAAACGTCGTGATTTTTATTTTATTTTACTTTTATTAATTTTAATGTTTTACCTACGTGACTTTACCGAAAAAAACCTAAGAATATGAATCCTTGCAGTCACGAAAGCTTCAAATCTAGAATATTAACGGTAGTTTGCGCATCTCCTCGTCCTTGTTCGATCGAATATTCCATGGTATTTACTTAACGATTTATAAAGGAGTGGTGGGACAGTGGTTACCAAACTGCACTTTGAACTCAGCGACGTAGGTTTAAATCCCAGCCGCGTCTACCATCAGTGACACATGACGTCCGAAGCAGTCCTGGGCCGCCCCCCCCCTCACTCCACAATCCGCAGTGACCAATTTGGTGAAGTATGGTCAAACTAAATCTCTTGGCCATCACGTGGTGAGGAGGCCATTTGTAAATTCATCAATCAGTGAATTTACAAATGGCCCCTATTACGTCTTTGATTATCTCATTAGACGGCTGTGATTGTGTGCTGTGACCACAGGACTATGTGATGGGCAGCAGAGGACGTGGCACAAAAAATATGTCTATGTTCCCACGCTCCCCAACCTACAATGACCAGCGTGGGGAGGCCCTCATCCAGCAGTGGTTCGACAAGGGTCGTACATTTCACGTAATAAAATAATTTACTTATTTAATAGCTCTGTGATGTCATCATTCGAGACCATTCAGAGGCACAGTGTGGTTCACCGCTTAGCTGTAAAATGTCTGAACAGACTCGTTTTCATCATGAACCCGACGCAGATTGTACGTTTGGAACAAACATTGGGAGGGTGGGGCGGTGTGGGCTAGAGACGAGTGGTGAGGTAGCTCCAGTTCAGGCAGCCAGTTGGCTCCACGTGTGTTCTTGCAGCAGTGGATTGACAACGTGGCTGAATATGTGCGGCGTGCGTGTCCCTGCAGCGGGCGACGTAACAAGCAGCAGCAGCAGGCCGGCGGTCTGGAGCGAGCGCCTGGAAAAGGTCACGGCCGCAGCGGAGCAGCGAGCGAGCCGTCTCTCCTGGGCCCTCGCTCGCCTCGGGGTGCTTCAGGCCTCGCTGGACGACCTGCACGGACGGCTCGGCCATCGGGCCGCTGACGGGACGCCCGGGACTCCGGAGGGCCAAGCGGGGGGACCTTGCGGCGACCCCGACGGCGACCAGGAGGTGCGGTGGCACCGACGGATGGGGCGCCTACGCTGCCACGTGGAATCCCGCGGAGTTAATACGACGTAGCTGCTTTGCTTGCGTGTGTTGTGTGTGTGTCTAATAGGAGTGTGTGTCTGTGTGTGTGTTGTGGGGAGTGGTGGTGTAGTGGTTAGCGCTACGCGGCGCTACGAACCCGACGAGCCGAGTTCGATTCCCGCTCAAGGCCAACACCGGGGACGATTATCTGAACCGGTTCTGGGCCTCCCCTTGGACGACTCGGCCTCAAACGAGTACCTGGTGTGGTGTATAAGCATCGCCACTGGGGAGATAAAGGCAGCCGTGCCAACCTATACGGGGGATCTTTGTTTTGTATATGTGTTGAATTTCTTTTGCACCGAACGTAGCCAAACCGTGCTAATCGGAGCCCTCCACGCTTTCACAGCGGGGGGGGAGGCTTGGTCCAGAAGTATGTTTGGCGTACGATGAAAACAAACGTCACCATTGTCATCATTGTCACCGCCTGATTGGGCCCGCTACGTGTTTGTCACGCACGGGCGCAAAGCGGCGCTGACATTTAATCGCTGCCAAAACTGGCGGCGCCACACGCCCAAGAGGTGTCGCTCTCGCGCGTTGGAGAAATGATGGAGACGTCGCGGAGAGAAGCCACGCAAGTCCCCCTACTCTCTGCGTAGCGATTGCACGAGTTAAGAAATGACACGTTTCAGCATTTTTTGTTGTTGTCGTCAAAGTCATTCTTTTCTTCGTCCTGCAACAAAACAGAAAATCATTTCTGGCAGAATGACTAAAGTGTGCTGCTGGTTACAGAATTACATCTTCTTGGTTCTTTCGGTAAAGTCACGTGGAATGGAAATAATAAAATAATAAAAATAAAACATAATAAAAGAATTATGCAGAATTTTTATTATTTTATTATTTCCATTCTACATAATAAAATAATTATGTTTTATTTTTATTATTTTATTATTTCCATTCTACGTGACTTTACCGAAAGAACCAAGAAGATAACATTCCTGCAGTCACGAACGCTTTAAATCGAAATTACAGAATTACATGTTTCGCAGCGTGGAAAGTGACACACCAAACCCCCCCCCTGCCCCCCTCAATTATAATTACAATTCTGACCTATAGAGAGCCACATGGGTGCTGCCACAGTGGTGTAACGATGAGCAGACTGGAATTGCAGTTCGGCTGTTGAAACTGTGGGGTAAGTTTACGAAAGCCGCCCACCTGTTTCAGTCCAAGCCAGCAATGCAAATGGATTTATTGCATCTTCTTGGTTCTTTCGGTAAAGTCACGTAGAAGGGAAATAATAAATAATAAAAATAAAGCATAATATTATAATATATTCTTTTATATATTATTTTATTATGTTTATAATATTTTATATATTATTTAATTATGTTTTATTTTTATTATTTTATATATTGTTTTATTATTTTAACTTTTATTATTTTATTATTTCCCTTCTACGTGACTTTACCGAAAGAACCAAGAAGATGAATCCCTGCAGTCACGAAAGCTTTAAATCGGGATTTATCGCACTGAGTCAATCGGCGTGCTTGCGTGACGTGGGGTCAAGCGCGGGTAGCTCCCGCCTCTTCAATAACTCACCAATGTGAGGACCACCACACACCGCCTGCAAAGGTGTTTTAAAATTTGTGTATTGTCAGGGGCCAAACGAAAGGCTACCAGGGGCCGTTCGTGGCCCGCGGGCCTTGCAGTGCAGAACACCGGGATAGATGGAGCTCTCTGGCGCTCCCTCGAGTGCACGGGTGGGGAACCTTTTTTCTGCCAGGGGCCATTTGGTTATTTATAACATCATTCGCGGGCCATACAAAATTATCAATAAAAAAATTTGGCTTTTAGATTTGGTCAAACATTTAATTAACTCACCCCTAATGCGATGGCTGGAACTGCTTCTCTATGGCGAGGCGTGTGAAGTTAGCCGGTATTGATGATGTTGCTACTCGCAACTGCTTTTATAGGTTTGCTCCTAGATTTATTGAATTTCGAGTCCCGCCTGCGGTTGCCTTGGCAGGGCCAGACAAAATGATTTCGTGGGCCTTATATGGCCCGCGGGCCGGACGTTCCCCACCCCTGCTCTAGTGGAAGGCCCTGATTGCCAGCGGTGTCACACGCAATCGGTGGCATTGCTGGAGCCCTTACCCCCTTACCCTTGAGAGTGCGCGCGAGCACACGCTCTCGCGTGGTGACAACGGCGAGCTGAGATCGTGACTCCTCGGGTCGCTTCACGATCGGGAAGCGGGACGCCGCCACCGCTCTCGGCGGGGACGTTAAAGGCCATGGGGCCCATCTGTCCGACAGCAGACGCGGGGTGCCAAGTGTCACTCGTTGTATGCAAAGGCCATTGTTTGTTTGTTGTTGTTGTTACCGCCAAAGCAAAAATTTGACGAGAAAATAACACCCTTGGCGTCTGCGCCCTTGGCAGCGGTGAGGGAGAAGCCATCATCGTAAACACGCCGTGCACAGCTTAAATTAACGACCCTGCACGTATATTCATCGGAGGCGTTAAACAAAAAAAAACTTCAAAGCGGCCATGGTCACGTGAGCGAGAGACTTAAGAGGCCTCCTGAGGGTCCCGTTAAACAGGTCCTGAGGGTCCCGTTAAACAGGGCATTGAAGCGAATTCAAAAGGTAGAGATGCAAACCTGCATTCGTTTGCTCAGGACACTGCTGGTGGAAGGGCTTCCACGAGAGGTAGCTCTTAGAGTGGCATACTCTTCCACGCAGGCCATAGAAATGTTTATTTACACACCTCCAAGTTGCGTGGTTGGCGATGTTACGGTGCGAAAGAAGTTCAAAATTTTGGAAGTTGCTGGAGTCCCCACATTTTACCCCACCATACGTGACCTGCCAATCGACTCACCGGGGCATCCACGTTTTTACTGCCGAGTGGACAGGGAGGGATTTTAGAAACTTGCTCTATTTCTGCAACTGCCACGCCGGGAGAAGGCGACGAACCGGCAGTGTCTGGATTAACATGTCCAGTGAGCTCACGATAACACCACGGCGGCATCCCTAAACACCGTACTCGGCTTAGGTGAACGACCATGCACACTTAAATGAGCGGCATTGAAAGGTGACTTCAAAAGCTGCCGTGTATATTTTCGTGAGAGAGACGTTACGTGGCACCGCTTGAGTCTTCCCTTTCGAAGAGTCGTTTAGTCGAATTCACCGACGCAGAAACTCCAGCGTGTGCGTACGGGGGTTGCACCACGTGTCAGCAGTACGATGTCCCAAATTTTTTGGCATGACGGTCTGCGCGATGTCGGCCTCCCGAAGAAGCACGCGGAGCGAAACGTCGGACATGGTGCCAAACGGCACGCAGTACCGACCCGAAAACACCTTGGCCAGCAACAACCGCGAAAATCCTGATGCGGTCCAATTAACCAGCAATGAGAATTAATTGCCGTTGCGTTTCTCTCTAATTGAACTTCAGAGCATCGAGGAGGAGTCGTCGTCGAGGCCGTTGGCCGAGGAGCTGAGGTCGGTGGAGGAGGCGGCGGGCGAGCTCGCCTCCGCCGGCGTCGTTCTCTCGTCGTCCACCCAGCAGAGGCTGCAGGAAGTGACGTCCACGTGGCGGGAGATGCAGGTGAGCAGCATCGGTGGTGGCCGGAGCTGCCGAGTCGCGAAGGCGGTGCGGCTGCACCGTGTCGCGCGGGAGGGTGGAGACACGCCAGAGGTCGCAAACGGGTTTTGATTCCTTACCTGTACCCGGCCGCATCAGAGTCGCAAACGGGTACCCGTACCTGGCCGGGTACGGGTACCCGTACGCTACCCGTACCCGTACCCTACCCGAAATGAGTGACAAACGGTTACTCACCGGTGACTCACGGCCTACCCGTACCCGGCCGCACCAGGGTCGCAAACGGGTACCCGTACCCGTACCTGGCCGGGTATGGGTAGCCGGGTTTCGGGTAGGGTACGGGTATCGGGTACCCGATTGCGACCTCTGAGACACGCTCGGCTGCCCTCAGAATCAATATTTAAGGTGACTTAAAGCTTTCGTGACTGCAGGGATTGATATTCTTTGGGTCACGTAGATAGAAATAAAAATAAAAATATCACGACGTTTCGATCGCAACGCAAGCCTGATGACGTTGCAATCGAAACGTCGTGATATTTTTATTTCTATTTACGTGAATTTACCGAAAGACCCAAAGAATACAGTATCTGAAGGTTTGCTGTTTTTCTTTTTATTAGTTTGTTGTCCTTCCTGCCCCCGGCACCTCCGATTAGCACGGTTGGCTACGTACTGTGCAAAAGAAGTTCACCGTACGTACATGCAAACGCGGATCAGCAGCCGTGCCTCGTGTCAGGCCACAACTGTAGAACCAGGCTGAGGCAGCTGTCGCATGGGCTTCAAATGAGAGCAGGTGTCATCCTTAAGCCACTTACGATTAAAGAACAATTAGTGAGTATTTCTAGTGCCTGATTGGCATATGCACATGTGGTTCCTATTTATACACGACGTGTAGATTCCACAAAACGTGTCACGCAATCTTGTACAAGCACTCAATTGTGGTTTGGAAATTTAAATAAATAACCATTCCTCATAACAAATGCTCAATTGTTTTTTTGTTAATCATGAATAAAACTATCCTTGAAAACCAAACCAACAAATAAAAAAAATACCTAAAAATGTAAACCCACAAACACCTTCGTTTTTATAATCATCCAATAAACCTCGATGTAGCATCGACGAGTGATGTACGCCCGATGAAGCGACGCTGTTATGTAATTGTGTTGCATGCGGTTTTTTACCATTAGCATGCGCATTTTTATTAGCTTTTAGATCTCACCAGGATGTGTGTTAGCTTGATCGTGGGAGCATAAGGCACAGTGACTGAACCTTAGCAAACGCACAATTCTTATGAAGCCCATCCTGGGGATGAGTGCAGGCATTTCTATCTCCTTAAGCAATGACCTTTGGGGTCAGCCCCATAGCTTGCCCTTCCTAAATTCAAAATAATTTTTCGTGCCTTCTCCTTCGGAGCAAATTATAGCGTGCCAAGTGCAGATCTTTCACGTCAATTCATTTCTCGCTTGTCAAGGTTACAAATTACCTTGGCATTTCTAAGACCCCCCCCCCCCCCCGTCTGCCACAATTAAAATCTGAAATGGAAGGGAATGTCGCGTTTGTGCTCACGCGCTCGCATTTTTCTCGTCGCGCCGCGTTTCTCCCCGCCCCCCACTTCTTCCGCCGCTGTCGATCGCCGCTTTTTTCATTTTGTCCCAAGGAGCAGCAGTTGCTTCCGTGACGTTGGGGCAGCACCGGCAAGGCCCGTCGAGCAGAGAATGCGCGCTCCCAGAATTCACAGAAGACAAATGCGTTCCTCCGTTCATCACTCGCTATCTCGGCTGCGCCCGGCGGCGTCGAAACGATGAATTGCCGCAGCGCGCACTACCGATGGCGAAATAAAACAATCATCTCGGGGGGGGGAAGAAAAGCTCCCGTATACTTTTCAACAGTTTAAATCCTCCCTTATAATCACTTCAACGTTTATTTGGCTCTTCAAAGGGTGGCATTTGTTTGTGGCGATGGTGTAAGGCCAAGGCGTGGAGATTCTTATTGCGCCGTACTTTTAATATTACCAGCTGGGTGGAGTGGTGAAGCGGTAAACACACTTGCGCAATGGATTCGAGTCCCAATTTTCCAGCCACAGGAAACATCAGTGGTGATCGATATCTGAACTGGTCCTGGCTCTCCTCGCTGCCTTCGCCAACCCGGGCTGACCAGGCATGGTGAAGTATGCTCAAACAATCCAACCCCCTAAATTTCGATTTAAAGCTTTCGTGACAGCAGGGATTCATCTTCTTGGTTCTTTCGATAAAGTCACGTAGAAGGGAAATAATAAAATAATAAAAATAAAACATAATTAAATAATTCTCACAACGTTTCGGCCACAACGCAAGCAGCCGTCCTCAGGTGAAGACCAGGTCTGTCAGGGAGACAGCGTCTTATTATTTCCCTTCTATGTGACTTTACCGAAAGAACCAAGAAGATGAATCCAACCCCCTCCCCCCACACCGTTGGGGGAGCCTTAATCCAGCATTGGATTGATAGAGAGCTGTAAATTATTATACATTTTTATGAATTCCAACAGCAATCAATAGGCCGAGTTCTCTGTTCTGAACCCATTGCCACCTGCAGCGCTATCAACCGCTGTGGACATTTAATGAGGGGTGAATATGCTCCCTCACCCCCTGCGGTCGTGTGGGACGTTCCACGATTAATTGAAAAACATTCAGCGCCGATGTTTCAAAAGGACCTCCGCCCCTCCCTCCGCCCCCACCACCACGCTGGTTTAATTGATGGTCACAGACCACATATTTCTCGCTGCACAAGTACTTGATGGAATTCAACGTAAAGCGGCCGGGTCGATTGAATGTTCCAGCACTCGCTGACTCGCTCCTCGTGCTGGCTCAAGGATAGTCAGCTGCCTCTGTAACGCTCTGCTATTATCGCTGCCACTGCTAACCACGGTTGCTTTACCGTTCTCGTGAACTTCGCTCGTCAATTGCTCCCACCCACATTGAGGACTCGGTGTGACCGGACTAACTGTTCCGTCCCACCGAAAAACGGCGTTCAACCGTTACACACATAACGCTTATCTAATGTGCCTTTCAAGCATGTGCCTTTTGTTGTTGCCTTTCAAGCGTGTGCCGATTGTGGCTGGCCGCTTGGCATTTTGGCCTTTTGGGCTCTGTGCTAACAACAGTGGTGGGAAGAATGGCAAAAAGTTTAATGCCAACCTTTGTTACACAGACAAAAACAAACTTTACGAAATAATCATCGTCATGGTCATTCTATTCAAGGCCGCCACAGTGCGTCACTGCACGAATGTCGGCCTTCGGAGCGAAATTTTATTCTTTCCACAATCGCTGTTTACCCTCGCAGTCATGTGACCACTATGAAGTAATAATGATAATAATTTCATTCGTTTTCAGCGCTTTTAATAATTTTCAGTTCACCACTTGATAAAGTGCCTCCCCAATCCCTTGTTGGTCATGTTTTTGACCATACTTCACCAACTTGGCTAGTGTGGATTGACAGAAGTCCAGGGAGGGCCCAAGTCTTGTTTAGCTATCGCTTCCCGCTGACGATAGCCGTGACTGGGAGTCGAACTCAGGTTGCCGGGTTCAGAGTGTGGTGCACGAACACACTGCGCCAACGCTTCCTTGTGTAATAAAGGTCGTGGAAGCGACTTTTGGAATCAGGGTCTTTCGTTCACAACACTCCTGTCTTACTCCTTCACGCTGCTAACAGCGTGAGAGGGAGAGAGAGGGACTCACGCTGCCACGTGGCAGGCCTGGACCCCCGCTCCAACGTGGCCTCACCCTTCGTTCCAGATCTGACCACGTGTTGTCCGTCTCCACCCCTTTTAATACCCGGGTCATGTGGTACCTTTCCACCAGTCCTGGTTAACCTCCATGGAATCTTCCAGACTCCATCGTACGATCCCAGGACCACGCCCCTGACTCGTCCCCCCATTGGCTGTGGCTAAAGCCAGCAGATCCAATCATCTACTTGCAGACGTCACCTTCCCATGACGTCAGGGCCACGCCCCTAGATTTGTCCCCATTGGCTATGGGCCAGGACCGGTAGAGCCAATCATCGTAACGAGGTGTGATCAATCAACCACCCGGATATACCCTCACATTACACTTGCATTCCCCGTGAATTGTCGAGCTACTGCTGAATGAGGGCCTCCAAAAGCCATGTGGCTTCTTCCACCCACCCGCCCTCGCACAAAGAATCACCATGATATTATTATTATGATGTAAAGGAATGGAACACATCTGAGAAGATAATCCACTGTAAAGATGGAGTGATCAATGAGCTCATGTGCAGGTGCGAGGCGGGCTATTTCTTCATGGAATCATTCGATATTACAGTGGCCAAAGGAGGCCTTTATCCAGTGGTAGATTGACCTTGGCTGATGATGATGATAATAATAATACAATTTATATAACGCGCGCAATGTTGCGGACCAAAGATGCAATTCTGATAACAGTGACGATATTGCAATGTCACAGTATACGATGAATATCAAACGAAATGCTTTATCGCAACATACGTTCATCGGCCGTCACTTATTTCGTAGCTCCGTTTTTCCACCGTGGGCCCACACATTGCTCATCGCCAATCAACAAAAAAAACGTGTTCCCACCGGCCCTGACTCCAGCTGAATGTCTCAATATCCAAAACACGCACCACTGCTGCCGCTGCTGCTGCTGCACCGATGTCTAGAGACGGTCTGCAGAGAGAGGATTTAGTTGAGGAAGTCACCGGTGCCTTGCGTGAGCCCATGACGCGATATTAACACCTGCGCAAAACGGAATCTAACCCCGCGGGAGAGGTTCTCTCAGCTGTCGACACGCGCGGGGGGTTGTCTTTCAGCCCAGAGGGGAGACGCGGCGCCCTCGGAAACTGGTCTCAAGCTCGGAGCGCCACGCCTAATTCCATCGAGCTGAAGTGTGAAAAATTAAAATAGTTTTTTGGGCCCTTGATCGTTCCCTTAATCTAGTGTTAAAAGCAATAGATGTCCTCCTTATTCAGTCGGTGCTCACCCTCCGTTTACTGACACATTTCCAATGACTTCCCTGCAAAGTGGTAGCTATTTTATCGACCCCCCCCTCTCCCGAAAGGGATGATGGGCAGAGTCAACCCCCAACTCACAAACGTCCCAATTGTGAGTGGCTCGCCCTACCGACGGGCCACCTGCCCGAGCACGCGGCCCTAGAGCCTGACAATGGAACGCTGCCGTCACGCTTGGCCAGGGCTTTGTTCTACCCGCCGTTCCTCCAACGTTCCCACGTCCTCTCGTCCCACCTCCGTTGCCTCTTCATCTCTGGCAAGGAAGCCTCATTCGTGCCGCCGCCGCCGGAGATGAAGATCGACTCTTCGGAACGATGTTCATTTGCCACCCCATAAAAGCCGGCAGAGCTGTGCCTCGGCTGGCCGGTGTGTCGATGCGGTGTTTTAAATCGAAGATGAATGCATTTTGATGTGGAAAAGTGGTGCATTGGTTGGAGTATAATAATAATGATAATCTCACTGAAAATACTCTTTGGTTTTTTCAGTAAAGTCACGTAGGCAAAAAATAAAATAAAATAAATGATAACAACTAAATTAAATCACGACGTTTCGGGCGCAACACAAGCGTCCGTCATCAGGTGTGTTGTGCCCGAAACGTCGTGATTTAATTTAGTTGTTTTCATTTATTTTATTTAATTTTTAACCTACGTGACTTTACCGAAAAAAACAAAGAGTATGAATCCTTGCAGTCACAAAAACTTTAAATCTAGAATTCACTTAAAATAATAATAAAAATAACAATACCACAAGTAAGATATTCATTATTACTGGTTAAAGTGTAGTAATGATAATATAGAGTATAACAATAACTGGTACACATTTAATAATGATAATAATCTCACTTAAAAATCCCGCTGATTGCGCCGCGCGAGTTTGTGCCGCCACTCGAGCTAGAGTTGGCAGCGAGAGCTTCGCCTCTCTCCAGAAAATCCGACGCCCGCTCCCCTCAAAATCCAAAACATCCGGCACAAGCGGCCCCTGAAGTACCACCCCCGCAACCCCAAGTCTCACCGTGCATTCCTGCTCATCTTCAAACAAAGGCCACTTCATGGTCCCCTTGCGCGGGAATTGGAGCTCTCGAATGTGTCCGCGGATCCCGTCATCGTCATCGCAAGTGGAGCGTCGCCGACAGCGGAGCCCTCGACTATCGCCGGGGGAAGGGAGGCTTAGCCATCAACATGGAGTCGTGGCGCGGACGCCACTGCTGTGTTTGCTTCCACACAACAACAACCGCCATTCGCCACTATGTGTGGCAGTGCCAGGCTATGTGCACGTTAAGGGCACATGACGTATCGAACGCCCGCTGGCAGGAGGTCACGGGAAAGACCCAAGTGCCATGGGTTGACTGTTTCAGATAACTGGCCGATGCACCACCTGTGCCCCCTACTGTGCCAACTTGCTGTGTTTTAGCCGCCTGGTGTTCCGCTCCTTGCTGGGAGCGTCGCTCCTTTGCCCTCCATTGTTGCTGGAGGGCGACTGCCTCCAACTGCCCAGTAGCGTCCTTCACGAGCCTCCTCCACAGAGGTCAATTCAGCTCCACATCCTCTTGTACCACATCACTCTATATTTTCTCTAGCCCGTGCTGCGCCTGTTTAGTCTCCACTATCCAGCCAAACAAAAGCTGTTTAGGCATGCGGTTGCTGGGCATGCGGGCTACATGCCCCCCCCCTCCCCCCTACTGGAGAGGTGAAACGGTAAAACAAAGGAACCGTTTTGTACGAGCGATGCATTCCGTTTCATTCTCACATACCTCCTCCTCCTTTGCCGCTGTACAAACCAAGGCGCCAGGTGAATTTTATTTTCCACTGTCCCCTAACATGAAACGCGCACTGATTCAGTCCGGTGACACCGTGTGGATGACGTGGCGGGTGCCGTCTCGTCGCAGTGTTTGCCGACTGTCGGGACACGCAATGATGGGTTGGGATGCGTGTGGATGATGCGGTGATGCTGTGTCCTTGCCGTGTGCTGACAGAGGTCACACGCGATGAACCCATCACAAGTCCCGAACCAGATTCAGATGTCTTGAGAGGCCCAGCTTAATGCGGTTTGGTTTTGGCTCGGCATGGCAAATAAACAGCTGAACCCTGGCTGCCATATATTGCACCTGCAGCGGCGCGCTGTCGTTTGATATGCTGGGAGCACTTAGCTAATGGTCCCAATAGCACCTTCTGCTGTCTAAGCAAACACAACTCTGTTAGACGATGATATCATATGGCCAGCAGACAGCGACTATTAGAGATTCAGTTCTGAGTGATTTGGAAAAATCTCGCCCACCCACCGCTTTGCAGTTTATATTTGCGGAAGTGCGACGTTGTACGATTCGAGTATTCGTAGCCGCAGCCGCACAAATCAGAGAGACTATTATTTTCTATGGGAGGTTTGTTTGAATCAATGAACTGATCGATTTATTGTCTGAAACGTATTACAATGCGATGTGCCCCCGACGTCTGCACGCTCGCGGGAAATTGATACGCAACGTGTCGCGCGATCAAAATGTGGTCGTTTGTCAAAGTGTTTTTGTTTTCTCTATCTCGTTGGCGTGTCCGTTTAAAAACATTTTTTTATCTTCTCCTTCTTCTTCACCATCAGACCACGTTGGACGGTCAGATCGATCAATCAGAAGAGGTGGAGAGCGACCCGAATCTCGCTCCGAAAGCGTACATCCCAAGTGAGTGTCTGACTCCGGCGGCGCGCGTTGCCCATGAATCAATCTCACCTGTCACGCGCAGATAAACGTTTCCCGCGTCTTGCTGAACCTCACCGCGCACGGTCCGTGGCTTCGGCATATATCCCGCCCCGGGGTGCGCGGGGGGATTGGAAAGCAGGGCCATAGTCCCGCAGATTTGCAAACATTCCCTCCGCTGCCATGTGTGGCGGACTAATGATGGATTTACTTTGACGTGTGCGAGGAACACGCTCGATGATTCATGGGATTGCGTCGTTCGTGCGCGTGGTGCGAGAGGCGCTGTGGATTTATCTCGCGGGGTGTGGTGAAGCTCGCGGTCGCCGAGGCTGTTGTGTGAGACTCGTCCGGGGAGGGAGGGAAGGGGGTTCGCGTCCAGGTCGAGTGATCGACGGTCCCATCGTGACCTTGCGCGTAATGAGACCGGGGGCGTTGCGTCTCTGGCTCTGCAATAAAATATGCAAGAAAGGTTTCGACGGAGAGCGAAATTAATTATTGTAATATATTTACACGTGAAACAAAACACATTGGCTGATGAGCATGTCAGAGTATTTATACGTTTATTTTAATCTATATTCATAACGTGGATAAATACAACCGTATGTCATTTAGTAGTTCATGAGATAAAACATCTCAGCTCATAACGTGATTAATAATATTGAATAACTTTGCAGATATTTTGTGAATTTGATGTGATGTTCGATCGAGAACTCGGAGGCAATGTATACCTATTTCTATTTATCTTGATAAACAACATGAATATACAAGAATCATTATTTACAACCTTTTGTTATTCCACTGCTGGATGAAGGCCAACCCGCACCATGTTGCATCGTGTGGTTATTTTCACCACAGTTCACCACCCGAGCTGGTGCGGGTTTAGGAGCAGGAGAGGGGGGGGAGATGCCCAGGACCGGTTCGATTATCGCTCCCCACTGATATTAACCCTGGCCAATACATCGCGTTCAGGTTACCGGATTCGCATCACAGCGCGCTAACCACCAAGTGTCTGAATACGACTCTATCACGGTGCCTCCGTACAAAAGCGTGGGGAATAAGGGGGGGGGGGGGAGAGATGACCAAGCAACGGTGGGGAGGGAATTACGAACAGCAGGGCTCACCGGTTTGTCACATGTGTAATGTGCCTGCGTGCGTTGCGGCTACAGTTTTGGAGGAAATGCCCTCTGGCAAGCAATGCTCAAGCACGCGTGTTTTCTTTTTCTACCAAGCCCGAAGTGAGGGCCGCAGAAGCGGCACTGCCGTGCGCGTCACAGCTGGCAGTCGGGACGGCTGCCGCGTGCAACGCTCCGTGTGTTACTTGCGCAACAATCTAGCCGAGGTCCCACGGGCGAGCGAAATTCCGTCGTGAAAAATAGCTTTCACGGAGCGCCTGCCCACTCCCCCGCGGTCCCCTTTTTGCTGCCTCGCAAAAAGCAAATCCCAGCTGCTTTGCCAGCGTGCGCGCGTAAGAGGGTTTAAGTCGCACGTTTCACACCGGCACCGTTGTTCTCTTATCTCCGGAAAAGTTACCAGTGCCAAGGCCGGACAGATACATGTTTGGCATCGGGGTAGCAGTGGATGTGAGGACACGCATTATTCTTGAGTTTAAAGAGGAACGGGGGTTGGAGTTGGGGGAGGCATGGTGGCATAGTGGATTAGCGCATTGCAACATGAACCCCGCCAGCTGATAAACTTAGTGATGACTGCTAAGCCAATAAAGGGTCCTTTCAACTATGTAAGGGCAAATGTGTGTTTAATCATTCCAATAAAATAAATTTCATTTATTTGTACATTCAATTCCTGGATGAAGTCCTCGCCGTGCCGTGCCGGTCATGGGTGTTCTTTGACCATACTTCACCACCCTAGGGGGGGGGGGATGCTTGGCGTTTACTGTACTATATGGGCCTGGCAAGCCTGCGGTTGATTGCCGGCCACGAACTACGTCGTGGTGAGCGGTGTGTGAACCGGTGCCTTAACCACGTCCCCTTCATTAACACGCGCTGACCAGCACGGCAAAGTATGGTCAAACGGCCCTCAAAAACTGACAGTAGCTACATTGACAAATTGTCAACGTCAAGTAGAAGAAGAAGTCGTATGCATCGAACTACAACTGCTGCACCTGCAACGTCTCATGCAATGGGCAGTGAAGGGAGCGGCAGGTTTACCACGCTTTGGATTCTGCAATCCCTGGTACTGAAACCTCCAGATTAGGAAGTTAATGAACGGAAAAATCGCAATGTTCTTGCTTTTAAACTTTCCTCCGTGGGGTTCCGTCTATATTTCAAGCACTTCAACCCACTTGCCGAGTGCAATTGAACACTTCACGAGAAGCTAAAACTTCTGAAGCGAGACACTCGCCTGTCCCCGACGGCAACCTGATCGTGCGAGTCGGCAACGTGGCACCGATTCCGCACGTGTTCACGATCTACAGATTTGTCTCAAATTACCGGTTATACCCTTTCGCACAACCGAGCCGTGCCGGGGCCAGCCCAGTGCGGCTCGGCTTGTTTTTTTAAATCCTTTATATTAAGTTCGCTTGCGTGCTTGCTTGCTTGCTTACGACCGTGCAAATCTTTCGGTCGTTTTTTAACCCACTTCCCGTGATCCAATCGAGCTGACATTTTGCACACAGACTTGTTGTGCGAAACAATTAATGTTCGTGAAAATTTTTTTCCAAAATTTTACACTGTTTAGGGAAAACAAATTAAATATTTAATTACCAATTGTTTAATACTGGCAGACAATCATCTGACTCATAGGTGGCAGCCATCTCAAGCCAGAGGACGAGAGGACTCTAGCCGCCACGCATATAAAGGATTTATAGTGAAAAACTTTGTTTTTACGGGTTATACTTATTCCCACTGCAAAAGCTCCGAGCCAGGACGTCGCGCACAATGACTGCGTCATTAGCCCCAGCCCATGGCACGTGCCTGACTCCGAGCCAAAGTTCAAGATGCCTTGTGAGAGGCCAGCGTGTTAGCGTGGTTTGGTCACAGCTCGGCATGGAAAATAGCCAGTGGAAAACTACCCCATACCAAGCCGGCTTGGAAATGCCATTGGGAAAGGGATGATGCTTTCCAAGTGCCACTTTCGTTTTAATAATTTGATTTGTCGGCACACTCCTCTGGCTGGCGAGCGGTTTGATTTTAAATTTCGATTTAAAGCTTTCGTGACTGCAGGGATTCATCTTCTTGGTTCTTTCGGTAAAGTCACGTAGAATGGAAATAATAAAATAATGAAAAATGAAAACTAATAAAATAATTCTCGCGACGTTTCGGCCACAACGCAAGCAGCCGTCCTCAGGTGAAGAACAGGTCTGTCGAGAAGACAGAGCATTGTTGGGTGGAGACTCTGTCTTCTCGACAGACCTGTTCTTCACCTGAGGACGGCTGCTTGCGTTGTGTCCGAAACGTCGTGAGAATTATTTTATTATTTTATTATTTCCATTCTACGTCACTTTACCGAAAGAACCAAGAAGGTTTGATTTTACTTGGCTGTCCGCTCCACCACGTTGCGCAAACATCTCCACCCAACACGCCCGTCCCGTTGCGTTCAATTAACTACAAAGTCCCGCTTCTGTGTCGTCCTTCGCGGCACGGTTAACTGGTGGTGTTTCCAGTGTGCGGTGGGTCAATGCAAGTTGGGCAGCTCTACGGCCATCACTGTAAAGGTCTGATCACCATGGCGGCTCTAGTTATAGGATAATCAAGCACGTGGCTTCGAGAGCCCCCCCCCCGCCCCCAGCAGCTCAAGGGGCCCTGGTTTCACAGAAAATTGGGGCTGCATCAAATATCAGCGAAAATTCGAAATCCTCATGAACGCAGCTATCTCCTGGCCAGAGCTAACATCAGCGGTGAATGATGCCTGAACCAGGTGTGGGCCTCTCATGAATTCTGTACTGAACATTCTGGTGAAGTGTGGTCAAGCAACCCCCCCCCCCCCCAAGATCGATGTGGCATGCCTTTATCAAGGCATATATTTACAAAGGACTGAACAAGATTACTATTTCTGTGTAGGTTTTCGCACTTGTGCTGCACAGCTTTCCCAGGTGTAGTTCTTTCATGTTGTGCCGTGGTGCAACATGAAAACACATTGGGGGAACTATGTTATGACCATCATTATTATGATTGCGATCAGATCCCTGGATATTTCTTTACTTGCCAATGTGGAAACTTAGCACAATCTGCGTGCCCCAGCCTGGGCAGTGCCTTGTGTAAATCCTGTTTGTGTGCGTGTGTGTGTGTCCGATCCGCGTGTCCACTGCGATGCAGGCTCCTTACAGGGCTCCTGGGAATGTTCCCTCGCCACCAACAAGGTCCCCTACTACATCAAGTAAGTCAGCACACGTCGGGCATACACCAACAACAGCAGTTGCACGACAGTGCTCTGTCCATTCGTATGTCCGTCTATTAATGAGGGGCACGATAACCCCCCGTGAAGTTGATCCGGTATCAATTAAAGTTTACTGGAACGTTGTGTCGCTGTTAGGGAGTTGCCCTATAGAAAACTGGCCACGTTCATCAGAGGATGACCCACGCCCTCCCCGGCAGAGCTGCTATCCGAGCTCCATGGAGTAATCGCGGCCTACAGTCGAGCTAGTTTCTGCACCAGCGGCCCAACCGCTACAGGGATCGTTATTGTCGCAAATCAAACGCTTCCGAGGACGTACCCATGCTGAGGAGTCTCACAGAATCCACGCACTCAAGCCTCAATTATTTTTTTTCTTTCCTCCTCCTCGTTGTTGTGAGTGCACCCGGTGGGGCGGTGACACGGTCTCGAGCGGTTCGCGCGGTTCGAGCCCTTGCGGCCGCCCTGGTAAATACTCCGCAGCGGACGTTGACGATCCCGTGACGATATTCGGAAAAAGAGTCGGCCGCGTGCGCCGGCATCGCGGGTCCAAATTAATTACCCTGAAGAAAAGTCTCGAAACTCCAGGGGGGGGAAGGCTTCCCCGGCAAAATAAATACAAGAACAAATAAACACGAGCGCTGCACGGCAAATGCTCGGTGCATTTTCTTGGGGTTGCTCTGAACGGGCAAAAACAATCGTTCCCTTTGTGCGCGGCCTTTGCGGACGACGTTCGCGTGGAAGTGCCCTCTCTCTCAGTGGCGCCATTGTTGTGCGACACAGAGGCAAGCGCCGTGGTGGGACGCGAGTGGCCGCGCGCGCGTGTGTTCTGTGTCGAGAAACTGCGGCCTCGCCGCACGCGACCGGGGTGGAGGGGGCTGGGGGGATGAGAGAACCGTGACCTCCAAAACCTCCCCCTCCCCCCTTGACGCATTACAACGAAGGTTTGTCCAAATGTGAAGAATTACCCGCAAATCGCTCGATTTTGGAAAGCGCGAAGCAAATCGTCAGCCCCTTGCTGCGAAAAAGTAGCGGAAGCCTCGTGAAAAAGTGCCTGGAGAACTCGGGGGGGGGGCGGGGGGGGAGAGGCTTTCCTGGGTAAATAAATGTGAGAAGAACTAGTGCAACACGAGCTGAGGTTCTAAAGCGTTAATGCCTTAAAATTAATTCTGATTCTGAACCTCCCCCCCCCCCCGCTGCTCCCCTCCCCCCCATACGATGTAACTGGTATTGACTAAACATCCCAATGCTGAAAAACGACTGACAAAATGACTCACTTGAGGTTTACGCACACATACACAGCAGCAACATCACCCCTTGTGTGGACCACTTGGCAGGACCCTCCTGCAATTGATTATTCCACAACTCGACTCCGCGACGCTTTCCTGGATTAAAAACAAACAATTCGTGAGCAGACATAATCGAGCGTCGTCCGCCCTTAAAATTGTGCTTGGATAATGGAGAGATAATACTGGTAGGAACCTCCTGGTTACACCAGCCCACAGGGGATTATTGTGTCCGTCCGTCGTGCATCCAAAAATGGGAGGGGTGGGGCTGGGTGGAGGGGGGAAGATGGGGAGGGGCTGGGTGGGGAGGGTGAGGAGGGGCTGGGTGGGGAGGGGCTGGGTGGGGAGGTGGGGGGTGGGAGGAGTGGGGCTGGGTGGGGAGGGGCTGGGTAGGGAGGGGCTGGGTGGGGAGGTGGGGGGTGGGAGGGGTGGGGCTGGGTGGGGAGGGGCTGGTCACCCCGTGGTGCCCTTAAACGTTTAACCTACTCACGCGCCGGCTTGTGCCCGCCCTCACAGTCGGGCATATTTGCGAAATACACCACGCCGCCGTTGACCCTGGCCATTGACCGAGCAACCCAACGTTCCTACCAGCTCCCTCCGCAGCAATGTGTTTGTCAGCGAGTTGCCTTGCAATGACTGGAAAAGGAGAAGCACTGGACTTCAAATATCAAGTCGCTCTTCACGCATCCGCAGTTCCAAACGCGCACGGTGATCAATCTCACAAGGAGCGCCCATTCGCTTTGTTTTTTTATTTCTGTACAATTTTTCTCCCTTAATATTTTTCTTTGGAAAACGGCGATGTTTTTTTGTAATGTTTTTATTTTATTACGTGTAGGAGCCCCGGGTACAGAGCACGGATACCACAATGTGGGGGGGGGGGGGTGAGAGGGGGGCTACAGAAACTCCGCGGACATAATTCCGAAACGCTGTGCGTCTGAGTTGAGAGCCAGGAGGCAGGAGAGATTGGGGGGCTCGCTGCTGCCACACCCGACCGAGCGGTTGGTGGGGGGGGGGCGACCGGGGTGTTTGTACTTTTTTAAAATCCTTTATATTAAGTTCACTTTCTTGCTTGCTTGCGCGCTTACGACCGTGCAAATCTTTCGGTCGTTTTTTAACCAACTTCCCGTGATCCAATCGAGCTGACATTTTGCACACAGACTCGTTGTGCGTGACAATTTATTTTCGTGAAAATTTTTTTCCAAAATTTTACACTTTTTAGGAAAAAATAAATTATATTTAATTACCAATTGCTTAATGGTGGCAGGCAATCATCTGACCCATAGGTGGCAGCCATCTCAAGCCAGAGGACTCTAGCCGCCACGCATACAAAGGATTTATAGTGAAAAACTTTGTTTTTACGGGTTAATTTTTTTTGTATATGGGTAAGCGGAAGGTGAGGGAATAACTTAAGAAAGAAAGTGGTGGGAGCGGGATGGCGGTTGAAGGGCGGGAGGATGGGGTACCATTGGCGATGTTTACCAAGTAAGTTCTTCGCCTTCTTTAGAAATGCATTTTTTGTGTTTAGTTGGGCGTCCTTATTGTCGATTTGGTTAAATGTGCAATGTTTGTTCGCCAAACCGCCGCGTGACGGTAGCCGAAGCGAGATGCGAAGACGCGCTGCCGCAACCTACAGAGGCACCTACGATGAGTGCGGTTGGCTACGTACGGTGCAAAAGAAGTTCAACATACATACGTGCACGCGCGCATACAGTTCCAATCCACAAATGTGCGCAGGTTCGAGCCCCTGATTTGTTCCCATGCCTGGCTCGGCTGCTTCGTCGTTGTGTGCATTGTCCGGACACTTTTTTTTAACGAGCACCCAGCACCCCACACCCACCACAGCGTTCCCATTCGGGCCCCTTGTAGCCCCCCCCCCTCCCCCCCCGTATAATTGGAATGTCACCCCTGTGTTGTTTTAAGGTCATCTCTGTTAGACGTACACCCTTTCCTTTTCATTAGAATGTCGGCTTCCCTGGATCACGTGATCCCTCCGTAGACACACTCGCTTTGGTGGTGGTGGTGGTGGTGGTGGAGGGGGCGAACTGCTGGCAGGGAACGATGCGGCCAACGTCGCAAGCCAAACAACCCCCCTCCAAAAGACTTGAACAGCCACCGCTGTGCTGCGGAACGCATATAGCTTGGGCTGGTTTTTAAAAATGGGGGGGAAAGGAAGAGATTTGCTACCGCACAGCGAGGGGATTTGAGATGAAGGCTGCCGTTGGGATATACGCTGAACGTAAAAGTGAAAAGGTTGCAGGCCCTGTAATTGGCTTGGTCTCGCCACTTGGCGGAAGAGGCCTCCGCTGAGAGGGAGCTTTAGAGGGCTCCCTCTCGATGACATTGGGCCCTCCCTCACTGATTATAGATTTGAAGCTTTCTTGACTGCAAGGATTCATACTCTTAGGCTTTTTCGGTTAAGTCACGTAGGTAAAAAATAAAATTAATAAAAGTAATAATATAAATAAAATAATAAATCACGACGTTTCGGAGGCAACACAAGTCTCCGTCATCAGGTGGGACCGTCACAGCTAAAATGACTGCATCAAGTGAGGAAAAATTCCAAAAGACCAGCCCTTAAATACAAGTTAAGGGGGGAGGGGCTTATCTGAATGTGGTAACCAGGGAATGGAACGTGGGGGTGGTGGGCGGGGCTACAAGAGAAATTGGCCAACATCGTCATGTGCAAGAGAACAATCGGTGTACCTCGACCTAAACCCCTCACTGGCCAGACTTTCTGGAAGGGATAGAGGAGTTGCACTTGTTTAACACTTTCCTGCACCACGCACGAAGCACCGATCAACTAACCGTCGGTGTATCCACCTGTACTGGGCATCGGTGAAAAAAGAGCTTCATAGCTCATCGGATTCATCCAGTATATATAAAAAATATTCTGATGATGATACTGCTGAGTGGACAGGGATGGAGGGATTTAAGAAACTATCCCCATTGTTTCAACTGCCATGCTGGAGTAAGATCGAACCGATGACCTCTGGATGGAAAGTCCTGTGTGTTAACCATGACACTGTGGCAACATTTAACATGACGGGTGAAAATATTTTTTTTAAATCATGTCAAGAAAGTTACCTGGAGCAAATACATTTTAATAAAAAGATGACAACAAATAACATTTGCCACTTTTCCCATTCCTTGTGGCCAGATGTCACAGGTTTAATATCATTTTCTTCCATGAAACATTGGTGGGGGAAGTCGTGGGATATGCCCACACGTGTGCTCAGCGTGTAAAAGCAGGCGAAATAGCCTGCAGAGTTCGCTTAAGCGGGACGCTCTGCCGTCACTTACATCAGCAATATCTTTACAGTCCCTCCTCCATTGCATTTCCTTGAACTTCGCCGTGGAAACTATCATCTCAAAAAAATGCAAACGAACGATTCTGTCGCTCGAGCTTGTAACGGCGTATGGCGCTCATGTTGAGCGTATAGCCAATTTACAGATGAACGGTTAACAGAGGCTGGTAACCGTGCCTCGACTTGCACCCGGCCGTCCCCCCCCCTTCCATGCAGACGCGCGTGGCAGAGCGGAACGGGCAGACTGGCTGTCTGGGAAGTCTACCGCGTGGCGCTTCCATTGCTCAGTAAATAGTTTGTGGTTTCGGTTTAGAATCCTTTCATATGAATGCATTGCAAACACACGGCTGCCTCTTGCTCAATTGCTAAATGAAAAAAACTAAATCCCATACAT